TACCTCTCAATTGCCTCTTTCGGAGCACGAGCCAACACAGACCGCAAATTGTCATTCTCTATCTCTTGCGCGGGCTCGAGCCTCCGACACCTCTAGAGATTTCGTCAAGGAAGATAACTTTTTCTGGTAATGATGGGCCTCTTTCTTCTTTTTTTCTGCAAGAGTCTTCAACTCTAAGGCCTGGCGACGACTCGATTCATCAAGCCTGGTTTGAAGGGTGACCACCTAAAGGATGAGGAGACAATGTGAGAGTCGAATGGTAAAACCATGCTAAAAAAAATAAGACTCAGCGTAAAGAGATATGGAATTAGAAACATACCATCTGGAAATAGACCGCCACAACCCTCTCGATGTCGTCTGTGATACGTCCTGCAATAGCCCTGGCCCGAGCGAGTGTCACCAAAGACTTAAGCACCCTCATCTCATGATAGCCCCGAGTGGGAAGAAACTCGAAATTCGAAAGTGAATCCTCGCCCTCAAGCTGCATACGACTGAAAGCGCCTAGCCTGGGAGCAGGGACAATCTCCATAGGCTCATCTGAAGGCTGGGGGGTCTCTTTGGCCATCTGAGACCTCCCTCCTTGGATGACTGTCTTCTTCTTTTTTAAAGGAATGGGGATGGATGAATATCACTTCTATGCCCCTGTTCGGGCATAGAATCCATAGTCCCCTCCAAATCAAACTTCATCCCTGCTCATGTAAAGTAAGGTCCATTAAGTTTATAAGAAAAAAAAAACATGGGAGTATAAAGCAAGAAAGGGGACCTTAAGAGCTTACCGTCAATGGAAGCAAGGTCCTCGTCACCACCCGGTAGGGTTTTCAATACCTCGTCAAGGTCAAAATCCATATCTGCGTACACACACCAAAACTCATTAGCACAGAAAGACAACAAACAAAAAATATGTGCAAGCAAAAAATCACAAAACCAACGAAACCACCTACCAGTAGGATGACTCATCTTTACTATTAACATGTTCCTCTTGGTCAGAACCGATCCTAAGTCAGGTGTGAGAGGGGGGTACATCAACCAACTCCTGCATTTGAGTTTTTAGAAGAGAAGTAATCTCTACTTGGCTATTTAAAAAGCCGAATTTGGAGAAGCCGTCAGTCGGTATTGAAAAGAACCCGACCTTCTGGGGGTCGAGCAAAGAAGAACCAAGATTTCCACCCACTGTTCGAATTCCTAAACTTGGGAAAAAGCAAAGAGACCCTAGTAGTGAAAAAGACAAACGCATTGCACTAAGCCAGTTCGTGCATCTCGAAGACGCACCTAAAGAGGTCTATAGAAAGTAGAATTCTCTTCTTAAGGCAAACATACAAAAAATACAATGCATTTCTCCATGCATTGGGGCTAATTTGACTAGGGATAAGGTAGAATTCATTGAAAATCGACACCAAGAAGGGGTGAATGGGAAAGCAAAAAATCCCATTTATAATGTCCTTATACACGGCTACCTCGTGCGGATCGGATCCGAGAAGTCTTTCTCTGGGACTGAGGGCTCTATAGACATAATTATCGACCCTATCATATCTACCGAGACATTCTTCCAACTTAAGTGGGGAATTGTAGAGACTATAACTTTTTGAGATTTCAAGGGGGACGATCTCGCTAGCCGAATCTCGCTCGATTTCTAAGTTTTGGTTTGGAGACTTGGTGGAGCCAATATGTCTCTTAGGGGAGTTTGAAATAAATGCTTGAGAATCAGCTGAAAGGGTTCGACTATCAGACTCACAAGGGAACCCATCGGACGAAGGGGGGATCGAAGGACTTCGGCTAGTCGGAGGTCTGACCAGCCTCGCGGATGAGCGACCTCGTTGACCGTCGGCCGGTCGGATTTGTTTCGACGTCGACCGACCCTCCATCACTACTTTCGTTGGAAGAAGAAAAAAAAAGGATAGTCTTGTGCATGATTTTACAAAAAGGGAAGAAGAAAGAGGAGAGAGTTACATTGCAAGAGAGGGAAGACTAAGATGTTGGAAGGAGGTGAAAATGATTTACATATGAGGGGACCACCCCCTTTTTATAAGCAAGAAAATTCGAATTCTTTTGGAGGGGGAAATTCCCTCCATGTTAGGGGCCATTGGATGGATGCCAAGTGTACAAATGAAATAGGCCTCCAACTTTAAATTGTACTGCTCGACTTACTTAGGCGAATGATCCAAAAAAAAAAAAAGGAGCCAGAACAAGAGAATTACTACCATTTGCGGAATAACATCGGCAAGGGGCAGGGGCTAATAATATAAGCTAGCCTAGAGAACTACCCCAACGATGAACGAGGCGGGTCACTATACGCCGATGCAAGGCCATCGACCCTCCAGGGGCGCTCAACCTCTATGCGAGGTTATCGACCCCCGGGGGTGCTCTACCTCTACGCGAAGCCATCAGCCTCCTCGGGGGTGCTCTACCTTTACGTGAGGCCATCGATCCCTGGGGCTCTCTACCTTTACGCAAAGTCATCGACCCTCCCTCGGGGGCGCTCTATCTTTACACGAGACCATCAACCCCCCGGAAGTTACCTATGTGGCCACCCCAACACTTAGTCAAAAAATCTGAGATAAATTGACAAAATTCCATGGCGGTTATTACGGGCACAACCTTCAGGTGGGAAGTTAGAGACCCCCTACCCAAAACGTAGAGAACATGGGGCAGCGGGAAAGCCAACGTGGGACATGTGGCACCATGATCGCCCGAAACTCACCCGATTTTCAGTACCTATAAATATCCCCGAAGGCGACGCAGGTAAAGAGATTGACATTTTTTAGCCATCTAAATTCCGTCTGAATCTCTCCTAATGCACACACTAATTCTCACGTCGGAGGTAAAACGAGGGACAAAGCCCCACCCTTCATTTTTTAGGTCATAAACACTTGTCGGAACAGTAAGAACGCTAAGGGTCAAAAAATTTTATTTTTGAAAAAATATGTGAATGAGAGGGCAGCTACTGATCTTGCTTTAAAAGAAGTTCGAGAGCTTGATCTCATTCGATAAAAAATTAATTCTCAAATCTTTATTGAATAACGAATTACAACCAGGGTTCGAATAAATTGAATGATTAAGAATATCTTGTTTAAGAATTAAAACTTGATATAAGTTAGCCTAGAGAACCACCCCTAACGACGAATGAGGCGAGTCATTACATGTTGATGCAAGGCCATGGACCCCCCGGGGGCGCTTTACCTTTACGCGAAGTCATTAACCCCCCTCGGGGGCGCTTTACCTTTACACAAGACCATCTACCCCCGGAAGTTACCTATGTGGCCACCCCAACACTTACTCAAAAAATCTCAGGTAAATTGACAAAGCTTCATGGCGGTTATTAGGGGCACAACCTCCAGACGAGAAGTTAGAGACCTCGCACCCAGAACGTGGGGTAGTGGGAAAGCCAACATGGGACATGTGGCACCATGATCTCCCAGCACTCAACCGATTTCCAGCACCTATAAATATCCCCGAAGGCAACATAGGTAAGGGGATTGACATTTTTTTAGCCATCTAAATTCCGTTTGAATCTCTTCTAATGCATACACTAATTCTCACGCTGGAGATAAAACGGGGGACAAAGCTCACCCTTCATTTTTTAGGTCATAAACACCCGTCGGAACAGTAAAACGCCAAGGGTCAATAGGTGTACAAGGAGGTATCTTTTCTCCACCATCTCATTGGCACTGTCCGTGGGAAGTTTCTTCCATTGAACACCAGAGCCATGTCAAGAAGACGGACAAGAAGTGATACGCGCTTGAGAGCAGCAATGCCGGAGACAGAAAGCCAGTTTAGCGCCTTGGAGACCCAGTTAGTGGCTATGATAGCCCTCTTGCAGGATCAAACGCAGAGAGCCACCCTCCCGCTGCATTCGGTGGAAGCCAAACCACCACCTCAGGAGGTGGAAACACCACCTGTCGTCCAACCGGTAACTGCAGGCTCAAGGGCTCCAAGGGTTACAGTCTTGCAGCCCACCCCACCCATGGCGGATCTGGAGTGGAGGATGGAGGAGATCGTGATGCAGAAAATAGATGATTCAATATCAAGGAGAAAGGATAATCGTAGGCAGATGGTCTTAGAAGAGGACCCATTCGCGCCTGAATTCATGGCGGTTCCCTTGCCTAAGGGCTTCAAGCAGCCTATGATAAAAGCTTACGATAGGGTCACAGGTTCACTTGACCATCTCCGGACCTTCGTTGATTTAATAAGGCTCTATGCAACACCTGATGCAGCGATGTGTTGATCTTTTCCCCGACCCTTAGGAGAGAAGCCAGAGACTGGGTGGCAACACTTACCCCCGATCTATCCCAACATTTGATGAACTTTTTAGGAGCTTTGTGGCCTACTTCCTCAGTAGCAAAAGAAAGAGAAAGACGGCCATCGAATTGATGCAGGTGGTCTAAGAGAAGGATCAGTCTTTACAAGAGTATTTGGCCAGATTCAGCCGATCGACCCTTGGAATAGAGGACCTTCAAATGTCAGCAGTGGTGACCGCATTGATAAATGGAACTCAGAATTGGACCTTTAAGATGTCACTTTCCAAAAATCCCTCAGAATTAATGTATGACCTGTTGAAAAAAGGAGACAAATATGTTGATACTGAGAAGGCGGAGAAAGACACAAAAAACCTCATAGAGGGATGGGAAGTGGGGAGTCACAAGCGAAAGGCAGGAGACGAGCTAAGGTCTGCCAATAAAAATAGGCCAATGAGTGAGCAAATGGGTAAGGGAGCAACCCAAGACCAACAAGCCAGACAGAAACGAGAGGAGTCTAGGGCGTTCACCCCTTTAAACACTCTGCGCGCTAAGCTGTTGATGGAAATACGAGACATGAAGGAGCTTGAACGGCCGAGACCCATGGTAATGCTAGCCGGCAAGAGAAACCAGGGAAGATATTACCATTTCCATAAGGATCATGGGCACGATATTGAAGAATGCCTACAGCTAAAGGAGAAGATCGAGAGCCTCCTAAGATAGGGGCTCTTGAGCAAATATGTAAAGGATAACTAGGAGAAACAAAAAATGGAGGGGTCGCTCCCCACCTGGAGCCGGAGTGATAAACATGATTGCAGGGAGGATAACAGGAGGCGGAGATTCAAACTTGGCAAGGAAAAGCTACGCATGTTCTCTCAGGATCTGTTCAATCCAACAAAAGGAGAGGTTTAGTTAGAACATCACTTTTGCCGAGGATGATTTGGTAGGCGTGTCACGCCCCATGATGATGCTCTAGTAATAATATGTGACATAGCTAATTTTGATGTCAAGAGTGTGTTAGTTAATGGAGGAAGCGCAGCAAATGTACTTACATGGGATGTTTTCTTGGGCTTAAAAGATCTCTCCGGACAAGTTGAAACTAGTAACCATCCCCTACAAGGCTTTGGAAGGGCCATGGTAATTCCGGAAGGAACCGTGGAGCTTTCTGTCATGCTCAGCACAGGTCCGACCACTATGGTAATTGTGGCGAGCTTCTTAGTTGTTAAAACTCCTATGGCCTACGATGCAATCTATGGTCGACCATTACTGAATGTAGCTGGGGCCATCCCCTCAAACTATCACTAGGTCATGAAATTTCCAACTAGTAGAGGAGTCGGGTATGTGTGAGGAGACCAACAAGCATCCAAAAGATGTTATGTGGACAACTTATCAGTCAAGGAAGCCCCACTAGTCATGATGTTGGAAGTTGAACCTCCAAAAGGACGAATCGAACCACTTGAAATGGTTGAAAAAATCATCGTATCGAAAGGGCGGGAGTTTATCATTGGGATTGGTTTGGAACCTGACGAAAAGGAAAAGTTGGTAAGATGCCTTGCAGACAACCTAGATGTTTTCGCTTGGAGCCCAAACGACATTGTCGGGATTAGCCAGCAATTGCTCAACACCACCTCGATGTCTTACCCGGAACTAAACTAGTGAAGCAGAAGAAAAGGAACTTCGTCCCCGAAAGCCAGGAAGTAGCAAAAGCGGAGGTGGATAAGCTACTGCAAGCTAGTTTTATTCGAGAGGTACAGTACCTTGAGTGGTTGGCCAACATCGTGCTAGTGAGGAAGTCAAACGGAAAAATGGAGCATGTTTGTAGATTACATCGGGGTCAACAAAGCATGCCCAAAGGACTCATGGCCACTCCTTCGGATAGACTACCTGGTAGATGCCACGTCAGGTCATGAAAGGCTTAGCTTCCTGGATGCATTTTTCGGGTACCATCAAATCTCTATGGCTAAGCTCGACTAGGAGAACACATCATTTATCATAGATTCTGGGACATATTGTTACACGGCCATGCTGTTTGACCTCAAAAATGCGGGAGCAACCTACCGAAGATGGTGAATAGAGTCTTTTAGGAACTGATCGGAAAAGCCATAGAAGCCTACGTTGACGACATGGTAGTGGAAAGTGTCAAAGCTATCAATCATATGGCTTGTCTATAGAAAGAATTTGATGTGGTCTGACACAATAGCTTGAAGTTCAACCCGGAGAAGTGTGTCTTCGGTACTGCCGGCGGAAAGTTCCTAGGCTTCATGATCACCTAAAGAGGAACTGAGGTAAACCTTGACAAGATACAGGTAATACTGGAAATGAAGAGCCCCACTATTAAGAAAGAGGTTGAGCGGCTGACAGGACGCGTGGCGGCCCTCAATCGCTTTATGAGTCGGGCGACAAATAAGTGCTACGACTTCTTTAGAGCTATAGGAGGCTCCACCAATTTCGAGTGGACTCAAGAGTGCGAAGAATCACTAGAATCCTTAAAGAAGTCACTATAGCAGCCTCCTATTCTGACCAGCCCATGCTCGGGTGACGTACTATGTCTCTACCTCGCGGTGTCACCACGAGCAGTTAGCGTCGTTCTTGTGAAAGAACTACCAAAGGCACAAAAGCTGGTCTACTACATCAGTTATGTCCTCAAAGGCGTAGAGACAAGATACAGTCTGGCCAAACAGCTGGTGCTCGCGTTGATTGTTGCAGTGAGAAAGCTTAGACCTTACTTTCAATCCCATACGGTGCAAGTAATGACTGACCAACCCATCAAACAGATCCTACATTGACCAGAAACCTCTAGGAGACTACAGAAATGGCCGATTGAAATAAGTGAGTTTGACATTGAATTTAGGCCCGGACGACCATCAAATCGTAGGCTCTGGCAAACTTCATCGTCGAGCTTACCATCCCGAAAGAGCTCCCAAAAGGGTAGAATGTAGATTGGAAGATCTTTGTAGACGGTTCCCCAAATGCAGAAGGACCAGGAGTAGGAATCATAATGATCGGGCCAAACTCCGAAGAATTGGAATACTCACTGCGCTTTGAGTTCCCTGCTACCAATAACAACGTCGAGTATGAGGCAGTCATCACAAGCTTGGGTTTGGCAGCAAGGCTGGGAGTGACTTCAGTGGAGGTATGCAGTGACTCCCAGCTAATAGTTGGGCAGATATTGGGAGAGTATGAAGCAAAGGTCGGGAGGATGGCAGCATACCTAATAAAAGTAAGGGATTTGCAAAGAGAGTTCACAAGCTTTAAGGTGATGAAGATCTCGTGAAAAGATAATGAGTGTGTAGACGTACTAGCAAAGCTCGCATCGGCCAACCTAAAAAACTTGCCTCGAACAGTGAGTATGCAACTCCTACAACAACCCAGCATTCAGCGCTGAGCTGAAGTGAAAAATATTGAACACGAGGAAAGTTGGATGGATCCGATAATCAAGTATCTAGAAGAAAATAAGGTATCAGAAGATCCCCTGGAGGCGAGGAGATTGAGGGCTCGGGCAGTCTTGTTTACCATCATTGATGGGCAACTCTACAGTGCGGTTTTACCATGCCTTATCTGAAGTGCATACGACCCGCCAAAGCCAAAGAGGTACTGTTTGAAATACATGCTGGGATTTGTGACAACCACGAAGGAGCAACTCCCTTGCCTTCAAAGTTCCACGACAAGGTTACTATTGGCCGACTATGAAAGAGGACACCAAAGAGTTAGTACGAAAAATGTGACACATGCCAACGTCACCAAAATTTGATCCATGTCCTAGCTGAACAGCAGGTAGCCATCTTTGGGGTATGCCCATTTTTTAGTCGGGAATGAACATTTTGGGGCCTTTGCCTATGGCCAAAGGACAAAGAAAGTTTTTGCTGGTTGCCATCGACTTCTTCACTAAGTAGGTAGAGGCAGAGTCACTAGCAACCATTACGGCTGCAAAAATACAAGGCTTTGTATGGAAAAATATAATATGCCGATTTGGGATTCCCAGGGTGGCGATGACACATAACGACAGAAAATTTGACAATCATAGCTTCAAGGCCTTTTGTGTGTGTTATCACATCGATTATAGACTAACTTCGATTGCCCATCCTCAATCAAATGGGCAAGCCGAAGTAACAAACCGAGTTATTTTTCGGGATCTGAAGACCAGACTGGAAAATGAGAAAGGGATTTAGGCGGATGAGTTGCCTAATGTGCTTTGGGCGTATCACACAACCCCACGAGAACCGACCGAGAAGACACCATTCAGACTAACCTTTGGGATGGAAGCAGTGGTTCCAATTGAGATCCTAAGTGAGATAAGTAGGATGAAGGTCAAAAAGCCCAATGACATGGTGACCAGAGGGGAACTCGACCCGCTTGAGGAGGTAAGGGAGAAGGCGGCAATAAAGATGATGGCCTACAAACGAAGAGCCTTTGAGTACTTTAATCATAGGGTGAAACCAAGAATCTTTCTTTCGGGGGACCTCGTGCTAAGAGATGCAACAAAATCAGGACATCTCCTAACAAAGCTCTAACCAAATTGGGAAGACACATATGAAGTAACCTGCAGCCTGGGAAAGGGAGCTTACAGCCTGAAAGACATGAAAGGAAAGTCATTGGATAGGCCATGGAATGCAGAGCATCTAAAAAAATATTAGCAATAGATTTCAAGATAGATTTGCAGGCTATGCTTTTGTAAATACAGTATGATAAGTTGCATTGTTAATTCTCTCTATATAATGCCTCATGAAGGTGCTCTTAGTTGTAATTACTTATCTCATTCAATGAAAGACCTTGATAGTGGCGGATATGAGGGTGCTAAGGAAGGGCCAGCCTGGCTGGGACGTCCTAGTACACCTATTGAGCTCACGAATCAAAGTATTTTTTATGTTAACATGCAATCTTGAATCTCCCATGCTCATCCTGTGAGGACATACGATCGACATAGCCCACGCGGCTAGTCGGAGAGCCTTGAAAAGCCAAAAGATTAGCTAAAACCCTTAATCGCAAGACCCCCTCATGATGATCAACATAGCCTATGTGGCTAGTCGGAGAGCCTTGAAAAGCCAAAAGATTGGCTAAGGCCCTTAACCGCAAGACCTCCTCCTGATAGTTAATATAGCCTAAGCAGCTGGACGAAGAGTCTTGAAAAGTCAAAAAATTGGCTAACGCCCTTAACCTCTAGACCACCTCCTAACCGTTGACATAGCCCACGCGGTTAGGCGGAGAGCCTTGAAAAGCCAAAAAAATTGACTAAGGCCCTTAACCACAAGACCCTCTCCTGACGGTCAACATAGCTTACGCGGCTAGGCGGAGAGCCTTGAAAAGATAAAAAATTGGATAAGGTCGTTAACCGCTAAACCACCTCCTAACGGTCGACATAGCTCACGTAGCTAGATGGAGAGCCTTGAAAAGTCAAAAATTGGCTAAGGCCCTTAGCTATTAGACCACCTCTAACGATCAACATAGCCCACGCAGCTAAGTGAAGAGTCTTAAAAAGCCAAAAAATTGACTAAGGCCCTTAACCGCTAGACTCCTCTCCCAACGACAAACTTAGCCCGTGTGGCTAGGCGGAAAGCCTTAAATGGTCAGAGTATTGGCTAAGGCCATCGACCATTATAATCAAGCCTAGCATGAGTGGGACAAATTATATTCACCCATGCTATCAAATGACTGAACGAGGAAGACAATGCTAGAAAAAACAGTTAAAAGAACGATGTGTTCAACATTAATAACCGCTGATAACATAGCATTCATACAAAAAATATGTGATGTGCTCTTGTCCACACCCCGAACAAATAGGGAATGACGCTAAAAGTAGAATAAAGAGCGACACAAAAAAGAGGGGGACTAACAAAATGTACTAGTACTAAGCCATGCTTCAACTCGAAGGGGAAGCACCGCCACTGCCGCCCCGCGATGAATGACCAAGTGACCTGAATGGCTACACTCCACTCTCCTTCCCTTTGCGCTGCACAAGGAACTTATCAAAACCTGAGGGGTCAATAGAATGGTGATCGGTCGATATCCACTCCTTGGTTAGTTTGATGGACGCCGCTATCACCTTCCCCCCGTAAGAATGCAAGGCCCTGGCATAGTCAGACAATGACTTGTACTGCTCCACAGATGCCTTTAAGTCCCTAGTATACTCAGCAAAGGCCTTATACCTCTCAACTACCTCTTTCGGAGCACGAGCTAACACAGACCGCAAATTGTCGTTCTCTATCTCCCGCGCGGGCTCGAGCCTCCGACACCTCTACAGATTTCTTCAAGGAAGATAACTTTTTCTCATAATGATGGGCCTTTTTCTTCTTTTTTTCTGCAAGAGTCTTCAACTCTAAAGCCTGGTAACGACTCGATTCATCAAGCCTGGTTTGAAGGGCGACCACCTAAAGGATGAGGAGACAATATGAGAGTCGAATGGTAAAACTATTTTAAAAAAATAAGACTCAACATAAAAGAGATATGGAATTAGAAACATACCATCTGGAGATAGACCGCCAAACCCTCTCGATGTCGTTTGTGATACGTCCTGCAATCGCCCTGGATCGAGCGGGTGTCACCAAAGATTTAAGCACCATCATCTCATGATAGCCCTGGGTGGGAAGAAACCCGAAATTCGAAAGTGAATCCTCTCACTCACGCTGCATACGACTGGAAGCGCCTAGCCTGGGAGCAGGGACAATCTTCATAGGCTCATTTGAAGGCTGGGGGGGGTCTCTTTGGCGATTTGAGACCTCTCTCATTGGATGACTGTCTTCTTCTTTTTTAAAGGAATGGGGATGGATGAATATCACTTCTATGCCCCTGTTCGGGCATAGAATCCATAGTCCCCTCCAAATCAAACTCCATCCCCGCTCATGCAAAGTAAGGTCCATTAAGTTTATAAGAAAAAAAACATGGGAGTATGAAGCAAGAAAGCAGACCTTAAGAGCTTACCGTCAATGGAAGCAAGGTCCTCGTCACCACCCGGTAGGGTTTTCAATACCTCGTTAAGGTCAAAATCCATATCTGTGTGCACACACCAAAACTCATTAGCACAGAAAGACAACAAACAAAAAATATGTGGAAGCAAAAAATCGAAAAAATAACAAAACCACCTACCAGTAGGATGACTCATCCTTACTATTAACATGTTTCTCTTGGTCAGAACCGATCCTAAGTCAGGTGTGAGAGGGAGGTACATCAACCAACTCTTGGATTTGAGTTTTTAGAAGAGAAGTAATTTCTACTTGGCTATTTAAAAAGCCGAATTTGGAAAAGCCACCAGTCGGTATTGAAAAGAACCCGACCTTCTGGGGGCCGAGCAAAGAAGAACCAGGATTTCCACCCACTGTTCGAATTCCTAAACTTGGGAAAGAGCAAAGGGACCCTAGTAGTGAAAAAGACAAACGCATTGCACTAAGCCAATTCGTGCATCTCGAAGACGCACCTAAAGAGGTCTATAGAAAGTGAAATTCTCTTCTTAAGGCAAACATACAAAAAATACAATGCATTTCTCCATGCATTGGAGCTAATTTGACTAGGGATAAGGTGGAATTCATTGAAAATTGACACCAAGAAGGGGTGAATGGGAAACCAAAAACCCCCATTTATAATGTAGTTATACACAGCTATCTCGTGCGGATTGGATCCGAGAAGTCTTTCTCTGGGACCGAGGACTCTATAGACATAATTATCGACCCTATCATATCTACCGAGACATTTTTCCAACTTAAGTAGGGAATTGTAGAGACTATAACTTTTTGAGATTTCAAGGGGGACGATCTCGCAAGCCGGATCTTGCCCGATTTCTAAGTTTTGGTTTGGAGACTTGGTGGAGCCAATATGTCTCTTAGGGGAGTTTGAAATAAATGCCTGAGAATCAGCTGAAAGGGTTCGACTATCATACTCACAAGGGAACCCACCGAACGAAGGGGAGAGATCGAAGGACTTCGACTGGTCGGAGGTCTGACCAGCCTCACGGATGAGCGACCTCGTTGACCGTCGGCCGGTCGAATTTGTTTCGACGTCGACCGACCCTCCATCACTACTTTCGTTGGAAGAAGAAGAAAAAAGGATAGTCTTGTACATGATTTACAAAAAGGGAAGAAGAAAGAGGAGAGAGTTTCATTGCAAGAGAGGGAAGACTAAGATGTTGGAAGGAGGTGAAAATGATTTACATATGAGGGGACCACCCCCTTTTTATAAGCAAGAAAATTCGAATTCTTTTGGAGGGGGAAATTCCCTCAATGTTAGAGGCCATTGGATGGATGCCAAGTGTACAAATGAAATAGGCCTCCAACTTTATATTGTACTGCTCGACTTACTTAGGCGAATGATCCAAAAAAAAAAGAAAAGGAGCCAGAACAGGGGAATTACTATCACTTGCGGAATAACATCGACAAGGGGCAAGGGCTAATAATATAAGCTAGCCTAGAGAACTACCCCCAATGATGAACGAGGCCGGTCACTTGACACCCATGCAAGGCCATCGACCCTCCAGGGGCGCTCTACCTCTACGCGAGGCCATCGACCCTGGGGGTGCTTTACCTCTACACGAAGCCATCGGCCTCCTCGGGGGCGCTCTACCTTTACGTGAGGCCATCGACCCTCGGGGGCACTCTACCTTTACGCGAAGTCATCGACCCTCCCTCGGGGGCGCTCTATCTTTACACGAGACCATCAACCCCCCGGAAGTTACCTATGTGGCCACCCCAACACTTAGTCAAAAAATCTGAGATAAATTAACAAAATTCCATGGTGGTTATTATGGGCACAACCTCCAGGTGGGAAGTTAGAGACCCCCTACCCAGAACGTAGAGAACATGGGGCAATGGGAAAGCAAACGTGGGACATGTGGCACCATGATCGCCCGACACTCACCCAATTTTCAGTACCTATAAATATCTCCGAAGGCGACACAGGTAAAGAGATTGACATTTTTTAGCCATCTAAATTCTGTCTGAATCTCTCCTAATGCACACACTAATTCTCACGTCGGAGGTAAAACGGGGGACAAAGCCCTGCCCTTCATTTTTTAGGTCATAAACACTTGTCGGAACAGTAAGAATGCTAAGGGTCAATAGGTGTACAAGGAGGTATCTTTTCTCTACCATTTCAAAACACATATTCTTTGACCTTACTTTTGATTCTGGTAATATATATATATATATATAAACTATGATTCAAAGCTTTGTCAAGACGTTACCACAGACAAGAGGGGTAAATGGAACTCAATCACTTTTTAATATTTTAGGATCCATTTAATTGCAAAAATGAAATTTAGGTAGCAAGAAAATGAATTTCAGGAAATTGAATTGTCAGAACTTGTTTTTCTGGGAATTGTCAATTAAACGTGTTTGATTGGTATAATTTTTCATCTGAAAAATATTATGATTCCAAAGCTTTGTCAAGACGTTACCACAGACAAGAGGGGTAAATGGAACTCAGTCCCTTTTTAATATTTTAGGATCCATTTAATTGTAAAAATGAAATTTAGGTAGCAAGAAAATGAATTTCAGGAAATTGAATTGTCAGAACTTATTTTTTTGGGAATTGTCAATTAAATGTGTTTGATTGGTATAATTTTTCATCTAAAAAATGTTGAAATTTTGAATCTTTTGGTGTTCATTTGACTTTGTGTTTAATGAAAATTGTCAATCAAAGGAAAAATAGTTATTACAATTGTAGATAGAATTTGTTTTCATTGTATAAAAAAAAAAAAGAAAAAAAGGATAGCTGGAAAACCAATTCCCATGTGGGGAAGAGGAAAAAGGAATTGCCAAGAAAATTATGCAATCAATCAAGCCAAAAACGTGGAAAATTTTCATTTTCCATGAAAAATCTAGCAAATCAAATAGGCCCTTACTATTTTTTTGAGCAAGGAAGCAAAAAATAAAAAATAAAAAATCAGACATTCTTCAAAGAAGAATATACATTATTCTATCCCAAGCAAGCTTTTAGATTGTGGTAGTGAAAAACAATAAAAATGAAATATTAAAAGTTATTTCTAGTACATTGGTCAATAACTTTCGTCACGATTGAGAAAATTAAAAAAATAATAACAATAATTGTTGCAATTATGAATTAAAGTTTCAAAAATTTAAAGGCGTGAAGTTCGAAGAGTGTGGGTTTTTGAATGCCAATTATTATTCACATAAAGACCCTAATTCAATTTATAATTGAGTCTTGGATCATATATATAAACACTGTTGGTGTAAATTACAAATTATTTTTATATTCAATCAAATTCAAATATTAGTTTTTACCACAAATTCACAAATATTGCCTATTTATTAATCACATATTTTATGAAATCCAAAACTATTTTTTCTAAAAAGTTATAATAATTTTATTCGAACACTCCTATAATAAAACAAATTAATAATCGAGTATAAGGCCACGTGTAAATAGGATTTTCTTGATAGCTTATGCTCTTACACATTCATCTGTTTGGGAAAATTTATAAATGATTAATAAATAATCAATCTTCATGTTCAATCACAAAAAAAAAAAAATAATAATAATAATAATAGAGAGAGAGAGAAAGAAATCATTGTTGCTTGGCCGGCATATATAACTTTGTCAACAAGAATCATATTCGATGACATATATGCGACATAGTAAAAGATAGCATCCTTAAATCTTGTAGTACTCTCCCTTGTTTCATCTATTCTAATGGCTGAGAAGAATAAAGAAAAAGAGCTCTCTGAGGAATCACCTATGGAGCCATTAAACATAATAGGTAATACTTTATCCATTTATTCAAGATTTTTGCCTTTTGTGTGATGAAACTTGAAATTTTTTGCTTTGACTCACTCGCCCTATAATTGTTGACTATTTTTTGCATGATAATCTCTGACAGTTTTAAGTTTCTAAACGAGCCATCTTAAATCTATGCATTAAATCAAAGCAAGGTTATCTTACAATTAGGAGTTTTGGTGTTTCTAAGGTTTCCCCGGACATGCAACTGGAAAAACTTCATGGGCTGAGGTTGTAGGGCTGACAGCAGAGGAAGCAGAAAGAAAGATAAAGGAAGAGATGGCTGGGGTTCAGATTCAGATAGTTCCACAAGATGCTTTTGTAACCATGGATTACCAGTCGAACCGAGTTCGTATTTTTGTTGATTCCTCCGGAAAAGTTACTAAACCACCAAGAATTGGTTAATATTTTATCAGCTTTCTCCCAGTACTAAACTATGTAATCTTGTGATTTAGAAATACTAATGTATCAAATAAATGCTCTATGCTGCTGCTTTATTTAAGAAACGATATGTTTATGGTAAAATTAATGTTTTGACGGATGTAGGTACATACGAAACCACGTAAATTCTTGCCATTGTCTTTTTATATTTTGCTTAAATCTCAATTTAGAACTACTGGTCGATCTAAAAGGCTCGCTCTCATTGAGCTCACCTTCCATTTTTTGGTCGACAAGATCAAGAATCCTTCCTTCTCTCGATTTGTCCCACACCTAATCAACCAAAACTAACTCCTCTGGTCCTTCATCGGGTTCAATTGGCCTACGCCAACGAGAAACCTTAAGCAACAAAGCACCAAAGGAAAGCATATCAGACCTTGCTGTGGCTGGTCCTGTCCTAGGCAATTCTGGTGCAAGGTACCCCAGAGTGCCCATAACTCGAGTAGTACTTGGATTTGACCCGTGATCATATAATTTTGCCAGTCCGAAATCTCCAAGCCTTCCATTCAATTCACTATCTAGCAACATGTTACTGGCCTTAAAATCTCTATGAATTACAATTCGTTTGTATCCTTCATGCAAATATGAAAGCCCCGATCCAACACCTTTGATGATCTTGAACCTCAGTTCCCAACTCAATAAAGATTTGAGTTGAACAAACAAGAACTTATCTAAACTTCCATTAGGCATGAAATCATAAACAAGTAGAAGATCACCACCACATCAGCACCGTCCTGTAAATTGAACTAAATTTTTATGGCAAAGCAACCTATACTGAAAATTCAAAAACAAATTCACATGAAGCCCTGTCTTGATTCGTGTGAGATACAATTTACAGAAACTTGCATCCTTGGAATGGGGGAGCCACCACCTCATGAGGCGGTCCACCCTCACCCGATGAGGTGAGGTCACCCTGGGACTAACCTCTAGTGGCTTGGTTAAGTTCTAGGTATGAATATCTATGTTGACCTATTCCAATCTCCCATGCCTCTATCACTTCAGCATAATGATTTTCATTACCCATGAAACCACAATTAAGATTGAACTCAAGTTAAAAACAAATGCCAGCACTGAGAGACCTACAATTAAGCTTGTACTATTCGTTTTCGTTCCTGGAACTGATGGGAGAAAATCGAAGTCCAGTGACTTGGCTTCTTCATTTATTTTGAAGCTCCAGCCTAAAAGGTAATGAGAACTTGCTAGCAACCTGCTGAAGCAGAAATTTCAACGTACATAAAACGATTGGAAAGAGATCAACTTGGTAAGACAAGACAAGCATTTTAGGCTCTGAAGACGAAAGTGAATGAGTAACATTCATAATGATTGTGACCGAGTCTTACTCTATCCATGCCAATATAACCTTGCCGCTCTTGAGATTGATATCATTTTTCACTGAATCATCCACGGAGCATAATGGTTACACACTGCTCCACGTGTCCCTTGCATGATGTCATCACCACCCTTACAGCCATTCTTGGGGTGACAAATGGCCACAATGATAGTTGCATCACAATATCAACCAATCACAACTTAGTAATGATTGTCCACCACATCGACATCATCATGACCTGCTTAAATCGACCTCAAAGACCAATCAATAGCTTAGAAATTTTGGGCAATGGCACACATTTCAAGGACAGTACTGTAGATGAAGCAACTTTGGACAGTCAATTGGCTACTTGGGAGCTTATGAATAGGATCAAATGGTCCTCCAATAGGGCAGGACTAAATGTACTCTTAATACACACTATACAAACACTCCATTTAATGCACATTGCTTTCTTTTCGCTATTCCAGTGAATTACCTCATTCAAATCATCATTTAAGTTTATCAAAATTGACTTCACCATTTTTGAAAGTCAACAATAGTAGAGAAAATACATAAGAAAAATAGTGTTATTTCATCTCCTTTTTTCGTTCCAATCGTAAGGATATAAATCTGATTTAAGTTAGAATATTAGGGATTTGGGTTTGGACACGTGATTTTAAAGATTTGGGAAAAATTGAATTAAAAACGTTAAATCATTATCATTTTTAAATTTGTGCATCATTGCATTATGTGTCCGATGGAATGCCCACATCACTTTTCTGTCGTCCACGTAGGATGCTCGCCAGTCATTTTTGGACAGAATTGTTTTCTAGGACTAACAGGGTTCACGGCTTAAAATTAAGGGACTAACGAAGTCCATTTTAAAGTTTGGGAACTTTTTCTGCAGTGTAAATTCTAGGGACAATTTTGGTTTTATTTCTAGAGTTTATAGTCGGAAATTGGAGCCTGTCGTCTTAGGATCGAAACAGTGATCTGGTTCTGCAAGAGACGTTTTGGAAAGTAAAATGCTAGTAATTTGGTCAATTTGATGTTACCATAATCAGATTATAAATCCGTTAGTATTTGTCATTCTTTCTTACCATTCTCCCCAGTAATCACTTTTGAAAAACATCTATTGATTTCTCATATTAATTATTTAGCTAAGTCAAGCAAAATTTTTCTCTAGCAAGAAACTTCAGAAAATAAATATTGAGGGCTTGTTTGGCAATGATTTTGAGAATTTATTTTTTGACCGTTAAGAGAAAAGTGGGGGTCACCTGTGAGAGAAGAAGTCAAAAATTACAGTTGAAATAATAAAATAACGGTCAAAGAATTAATTTTTTGGAGTAAAAAATCACTCTCAAATGGTTCGTTTTCGTTCCTGGAACTGATGGGAGAAAATCGAAGTCCAGTGACTTGGCTTCTTCATTTATTTTGAAGCTCCAGCCTAAAAGGTAATGAGAACTTGCTAGCAACCTGCTGAAGCAGAAATTTCAACGTACATAAAACGATTGGAAAGAGATCAACTTGGTAAGACAAGACAAGCATTTTAGGCTCTGAAGACGAAAGTGAATGAGTAACATTCATAATGATTGTGACCGAGTCTTACTCTATCCATGCCAATATAACCTTGCCGCTCTTGAGATTGATATCATTTTTCACTGAATCATCCACGGAGCATAATGGTTACACACTGCTCCACGTGTCCCTTGCATGATGTCATCACCACCCTTACAGCCATTCTTGGGGTGACAAATGGCCACAATGATAGTTGCATCACAATATCAACCAATCACAACTTAGTAATGATTGTCCACCACATCGACATCATCATGACCTGCTTAAATCGACCTCAAAGACCAATCAATAGCTTAGAAATTTTGGGCAATGGCACACATTTCAAGGACAGTACTGTAGATGAAGCAACTTTGGACAGTCAATTGGCTACTTGGGAGCTTATGAATAGGATCAAATGGTCCTCCAATAGGGCAGGACTAAATGTACTCTTAATACACACTATACAAACACTCCATTTAATGCACATTGCTTTCTTTTCGCTATTCCAGTGAATTACCTCATTCAAATCATCATTTAAGTTTATCAAAATTGACTTCACCATTTTTGAAAGTCAACAATAGTAGAGAAAATACATAAGAAAAATAGTGTTATTTCATCTCCTTTTTTCGTTCCAATCGTAAGGATATAAATCTGATTTAAGTTAGAATATTAGGGATTTGGGTTTGGACACGTGATTTTAAAGATTTGGGAAAAATTGAATTAAAAACGTTAAATCATTATCATTTTTAAATTTGTGCATCATTGCATTATGTGTCCGATGGAATGCCCACATCACTTTTCTGTCGTCCACGTAGGATGCTCGCCAGTCATTTTTGGACAGAATTGTTTTCTAGGACTAACAGGGTTCACGGCTTAAAATTAAGGGACTAACGAAGTCCATTTTAAAGTTTGGGAACTTTTTCTGCAGTGTAAATTCTAGGGACAATTTTGGTTTTATTTCTAGAGTTTATAGTCGGAAATTGGAGCCTGTCGTCTTAGGATCGAAACAGTGATCTGGTTCTGCAAGAGACGTTTTGGAAAGTAAAATGCTAGTAATTTGGTCAATTTGATGTTACCATAATCAGATTATAAATCCGTTAGTATTTGTCATTCTTTCTTACCATTCTCCCCAGTAATCACTTTTGAAAAACATCTATTGATTTCTCATATTAATTATTTAGCTAAGTCAAGCAAAATTTTTCTCTAGCAAGAAACTTCAGAAAATAAATATTGAGGGCTTGTTTGGCAATGATTTTGAGAATTTATTTTTTGACCGTTAAGAGAAAAGTGGGGGTCACCTGTGAGAGAAGAAGTCAAAAATTACAGTTGAAATAATAAAATAACGGTCAAAGAATTAATTTTTTGGAGTAAAAAATCACTCTCAAATGGGGCCTGAATTGTGGACAGAATAATATTTGAACTAAGCTTGAGGTACAGGGTAGGGGTTCTAAACCCCTACCGAGCACTCACTCCTTGGGGGTGGGTATTTTGTCAATTTTTTATACAAGTGGGGGGTTCCGTGTGAACCCCTACCTGGTAAACAGCAAAACTCATAATATTTATACCATGGGAAGTAAACTCCAAATCCCATGACACTGTGTGCAGATTACACGGATTGAAGGGGACATGCCTGATTTCAAAGATAAAAGTTTTGTAATTTTTTAAACCAACCTTCCATCATTTTATTTAATCAGTTACTGCGACTTAGTGAAGAATTTCCATCAGGCTTCCGTTTTCATATTTCCATTCAGATTGCATAAGCTAGAGGCAGAACAATTTCCAGTTTTTTGCAAATAAGGGATATTTGATTCAGCACCGTAGGATAATGATTTAAATTATGAAGTTGGAGTAAGATTTAAATTCAATTGTTGGAAAAATTAATTCCACTTTTGCTTCTTTTTGGTAAAGATAATTATACATTTTAAACAGTTAAAGGGAAGCTAGAAATCATTTCTAGAAGGTTCCATTTTTTATGGCATCTTCATTTGCATCTCCAAGTGCTGCCTCCTTCAAGTACTTGTCCGATAATTGGACTCTCTTCACATTCTCCTGCTCTTGGACAAGCATGGAACCATACTCGAGGAGCTTTTCAACGGTCATTTTTGGTTGCTCAAATTCTGGGAGTTTCTCCCTGGAATTTACAAGCTTTCTCCCAATATTTTCAACACCAACACTTGCGATCCACTTCCTCACTTCATCGTCATACGCTCTTGCTCTTATGGCACCAAAAAAATCTGCACACAAGTTGAACAACTCCAATCTTAGGCTATTCCCAGGTTCTTGGATTTTTTTTTTAAATGGTGAAATCAACAACTACCAAGAAAAAGCATTATTTAAGTAGTAGCTGCCCAGACTAGGGAGAAGAAATTACCAATAGATTGTCCAGGGAAAGCGTCAACAAGCTTTACAATGTCCTCTCTAGGCACGTTATCTGTCCTGAAGATACCGGTGCAAACACCAATTCTGTCTTCTCTGGTTGGTGCCCAATAGAACTTTTCCATACGACCATCCCGGATAAGAGGGGCGTACAATGTTGAGAAGTCATTACCGGTGACTATAACAGGGACACGAGGATTCTCCTGTTTGTTGTACATACCGGGGAGCTGAACATTGGTTGGATTATCAGCAATGTTCATAAGGGTTGCATTCACCATCTGGTTATTGACTGTATATTGTGTAGTTCCACCAAGTCTACCAGCCCCTGCATCAAGATCATTGATGAAGAGGACACACATCTTTCCCTTTGCAATTCTGTCGGCTGCCTCACGGTACCTTTGCCTAATCAGTTTAGCAGGCTCTCCAGCATTTCCACTTTCCAATTCTCCAGCGCTCATCATAATGGGGCTGAAATCAAAGCATGAAATAAGGTCTTCTCTAACCGCTAAAAGCAAAGTTGTCAATGTAATTAATCATCAGTGTATAGCCTTTAGCCATATTATTAAAATAAGGTTCTGTTTGTTCTACGACTGATTTTCAAATGTTAGTTGTATTTCGACCATTGCAGAAAACCATACCATAATAGTGCAATTTTTTCCACAATTTAAAGGATAGCTTACTTGATTCCCATTTTGGCAAAAACAAGCTCGCACTGGAATGATTTCCCCTGACCTTTACCTCCCCATATCCCCAGGATGAGTGGAACCTGCAAGGAATTGGACAATGTCATCAATTTTGATTTTATTTCCCCATTGCTCAAGAGTCTTGAGTATCACTGAAGACAAAGAACTATAGAAAACCTTGATGTTTGGCAGGTTCATGAAGTTCTTGGCTATGTGAACAAGGAGCTTATCCATGAAAGCAGGGGCAATGTAGTAGCCATTCATATTATTATCGAATTGGTACCTGCCCAAACCATACAGTGATAATAATTGAAGAGAATGTGGTTTACCATAATATTACAGTCAGCAAAGATACTATATTCAAGTCTTGCCGCTACCCACTAGGAGTACCAACAAGTGTTAGGCTTTTGATAGAAAAGATGGTGGCTTGCAGCGCGAAATGAAGATAAAATTTAAATTTATCCCCTCGCTTACAAGTTTAACTTTTTAGACGAGGTGATTCAACACAAATTATCATGTAAAGATTTACGAAGAAGAAGAGCAAGAGAGTCATTACTGGCGAAGACCGGCACTGATATAGTCATAGGAACTCATGATTGCATGGTGAGTACCACTGCCCATGGGAGCTTGAAACAGTGTGTCCACCATTCCCTTTCCTCTGCTGATATCCTGCTGGTCATCAGATACATCGTTTACAAGACCCTTCCATCTGTCCTTGTCCGTCTGTTTCTTCTCATCAACTTCTGCTACAACCTTAAAACTCCCGGACGAAATCTTGTCGCTGATTGCTTTAGAGTTCACCATGATTAGCCTCTTGCCATAAAAGGTGGTTCTTGGGTTAGAACCCTTCACTTTCAACTGCACCAAGAACGCATTTTTTCTTAAAACAGACTCCATTTTACTAATCAAATTCTCTTAGACATAATATCAAATACGTGTGTTCCATAAAATGAAAGATGATTAACACAAGAACACAATTCGATAGTTTCAAAGCCTCATATAAAGATAGACCCAACTAGTAGTTATGCATATATATAAGATAAAGGTTGCGATAATAGCAGAGTACCACTGGCACTACTGCATTAACACCTCCAGTTGCTGTCGAAACCGAGGCAGCCATAGCCATTTTTGAGTTTCTTGGCACTCAGTATTGATCAAAAAAGGTGGCGTAAAAATATTGTTTGTAGTCGTGGGCTGATCAAATGAATTAAAAATATTGCGATATTTAAAGTGGGTTGGGACAGTGACATGGTTTTTTGGATTGCGGGAAATCCAATGGATTGGGCTACGAATACCTAACGGCCACACAAATGGCGTCTTATAAATACCAACAAAACGGAGGCTTCTGGGGAAGTGGGAATTGTTCTAAAACTGTGAGGTTGGAGTTTAAGCTTTACTGTTGTCCATAAACATATGGGTTTTCTTTATTTCAGAAGTCTGGGAAAGGAAATAATTTTGTGTACGAAATTGAATAAAACAAAAACGTGATTTCCAGAAGGAAGCCTAACTTTGTTTTTCGAAAATTACATATTTTCTGAATTTTTAATTATACTTATTGGTTAATTGAAGTCAGAATTTGTCCCGAAAAATATAACTCTTATTTTCGTTTTCAATTTTGAAAATAATATCACCAGTTTTGCGGTTTAATTTACAGCATGCTTGACTCTGCCTTAAAAAGACAAAGGAAAATACTATGTGTACATAATTATTGGTACACAAGCGTGTTCACCCTCTCACATAGGTGGGACCCACTCGAATAAAATATTCGAGTGGACCACATGCTATGTTTTATTTGAGTGGGCCCCACTCATGTGAGAGAGTGGATACCCTTATATACAAAAAACTATGTATGAGAATCTTTATCCAAAAGCAAAAGTATTTAAAAAGTAATTTTTAAGTTTATAAGTTATATATAGTTAACTTTTTTATCGAACGTGTTTGAACTTTTGTAGAAGTTACTTTCTTTCTGAATTATTTTGTTCAAACTTTTTCTCGAGGGATATGTTTATAGAATTCATGTTCGTATAAATTGGACTTACTAGTATATTTATGCTTGAGAGAGTCTAGTTACTTTTTAATTAAATGAATATGACAAATTCCAAAAATTCTTAAAATAAATTAATCTCGTCATTACAACATATCAACTTAGAGGTGTCAAAAAGGCTCGACGACTTGGGCGACCAACGAACGGTCTGGCTCATGGTTCGGAGTAATCGAACCGAGGCTCGGGCAAGCCCAAGCCGGTCCGTGAGCCTTTTATTTATATATTAAAAAAAAAAAAAAAAGAGGCAACATTTGCTGCCTTTCAAGGCAGTGAAAAAAAAAAGAGCCAAGGCAACCCAAAAAGGGGAAAAAAATGAGCCGGCCCCGCTTGGCTCAGAAAAGCCCGAGCCGAAATTTTTTGGCTCGACTTGAGCTCGTAAAAAAACTCGACCATTTTAATCGAGCCGAGCTCGAGCCGAAAGTTTTAGCCTCAGGCTTGGCTCGGTTCGTTGACATCCCTATATCAACTCATCCATAACTTGAGAATAATGTTATTTATTATGTTATATAACATTTTTCGAAATGTTATTGTAGGTGGAGTTATTAAAAATTGTACCTCTATTATAATATTTTATAAATATTATTATAAAGTCCTATAAAGAAAAACTTTTATCTAGCATTTTATTATCTATTAAGTGATAAAATCTCATATCAAATAAAGATGAAAACATAACCAACGTATAAGGGCTTTGGAGGACTCATCTTAATAAGGTTAAACTTTTAATATAAAACTTTAAATCTTAATTTAGTATCAAAGTTCTTTAAACTCCAACGAGTAATTTGATCCGACTAAGAATAAAAAAATGAGTATACGAATTTTAAGATTGATTTGTTCAAATGAGCCACCATCTTGTAAGAGCATATTAAGGGATAAAATTTTACATCGAGTAAAGATGAAAACATAACCAACTTATAAGGATTTTGAGCTATTTTTTTTAATAAGATTGATCTTTTAAGATAGAATTTCAAGTCTTAATATTATTGTCATGATTTTAGTATTTATAGCATTCTTTTTCGTGCAATCTTTATAAATTTGATAGCATTTTTTCGATTATAATTTTGACTTTAATAATATCATTTAATCCTCATGGTTAAATCTTTAATAGTATTCTTTTTTAAACATATATTTTTTAAATATTTGTAACATTTATTCAGTAGAATATATCATTTCCAATAGCAATTCCAGAATTGACAATTTTGCAATTGCTTTTAAAAAGTAACATTTTTGTAAATGACAATCCAAATTATGACATCCAGTGTAATTTCCACATTAAACATTATGAATCCATACTTGAAAAAATAGCAGTATTCAACCCCAGTTTGACAATCATTATAATGAGAAATTTGGGTAAAATATATTTTGGAGTAGTAGTTTTGGAAAAATGTGAATAGAAAAGCAGGAAAAGATTTTTATTTATGTGTAATATTATTTTATTGAAGAATATATGATTGAAAAGAAAACAAAAAAATATATTAAAATTTTAAAAGGAATCAAACAAAGGCTAAGTTCAGTTTCTATGAAATAAGACTCTAATTGTATTTTGTCTCACATCAATTAATAATAGCAATATATGCTTGAAAATGCAATAAACAAAAGGGAAAATTGTAGTTGAGGTATCAAACCTTTTGTTTATTAGTAAATTTTGCCCAAACCTTTCGTTTGTGCTATCGGAGGTACTAAATTTTCAAAAAATTTGCATTTGGAGTCCAAATTGACAGAAACCAGTCACTAAGTTCCTTAGAAAATCTATTGGTGATCCATCCAACTAGATTGGTGTGGAAGAACACCATTGGAACTATGTGAAATATAGCATTCAATTATGAAGTCGTATAGTAGCACCAAGGCTTGACATGATTAACGAAAAGGACTTTTCCAACGTCACTATCACTTGTGTATTACGAATCTTGAGAAAGCCTTTAAACCAAATAAGAATCTAAGTTCACAAGGTAGCACACCTCAATGTGAGCAAGAAAAGTCCCTATCTCAAAATCCATGTAGAATGGGTGGCTTGGTTTGCGTTTTGTGTTAACAGGGAGGAAACCAGCGGAGATACGCTCATCGGAGGCTTCTCCACCATCTGCGGTAGCGGTAGTGAGCACTTGCTGGAAGTCGACAGAGCCAACAAGGGTGAGCTAAGCCAAGTCGTTCTCATAGGTCCTGACGGCTGGGAGCGACTTCTCTTTGGCGCCGACATTGGCTACCGCTTCCAGAATAACTAGCTCCGATGTAAATTGGGAGAATGGCTGGTGAGAGGAGAAGTGGGAGGAGATGGAGAGGATATAGTGGGGATATTTATAGGATTTGAGGAGTTATTTGGGAAGAAATGGAATTGACGGTTTCAAGGGAAGAGAGTAAAGGGGAAAAAAAAAGTAAATGAAATGGGCATTTGATGGGTTTTTATCTTCTTTCACCCAAAAATAAATCCACACAAATGCATTGGCATTCGATGGGTTCTTATTGATGGGCAAAGAAGGGTCTTTATTTTCTTTCTTCTAGATTCTACTGATTGGTTTTTGGAGAGTGAGGAAAATGAGTTACAAGGTTTGAAATTAGCTTTTGAGATTTCAGTCGAGCTTCCGACGAGGTTGAAGAAGTCTGTGAGATTCCAATTTTTAATTTTATTAGAAGATACCTGATTTTTGGTGGGTGGAGAAGATGGTTTTTGGTTTTGGGTGGGTGAAGAAGATGACTGTTTTTTTTAATTTTTTATATGAAAATGTAAAGTTACACATTTGTCCATTTAAAAATCAGTCAACAATTGATTAGACCTTTAATTTTTGGTCAATAACAGTCAAACTAACGGTTTCTGTCAATTTGGATTTCGGGTGCAAATTTTTTGAAGGTTTAGTACCTCCTATGGCACAAAAAAAATTTTTTGGGCAAAGTTTGCTAATAAATGAGAAGTTTGGTACCTCAGCTGCAGTTCTCCCTAAACAAAATTAAATTAGAATAATCTCATTCTAGTTATTCAAAAGAAAATTTCTTGAACTTTGCAAGGTGTTTGGAGAAGACATCGTTCAAACTAATGGTGCATTTACATGTGAAAACTAATAAAGTGATACAACTTATTAGATTGTAAAAATAATATGAAGTAAAAAATTAAAAACTCTAATTAGTGACTAAAAATATTAGCATACAAAATTTGATCTTATTGTTTATCCTATTTAATCCATTACAAACTTATCAAATGACCATGCAATTGTGGTATCAGCTCATTCTTAAATGCAAGTCATATAAGAAGTAGGCCTTCACAAGAATGCATTAGGTTTCATAACTATATCAACCCAAACTCTCACAATGTTAGGTCTTGGAATGTGATTGTTAAAATTTCTATGTGACCCGAACGCTATTTGGAGGTATATTTGTAACTGGTTATTTGATTTGAAAAAGTCTTAAAGAAGTAGAAGACTACGAGTATCCAAAGCAATGTTTTGAACTACTATTTCAACTCAAATATTCCGTTATCGATATTACCTATTATAATAGGACTTCACCTTGTGTTAGATCTTATTTGTATTATTTTCTCCTAGTGTGATTGTAATGATTTGATTATAAATATGTGGTGTACAACATATATTGAGATTGACCTGTTGGCCAACTTATTAGTTTGGTACAAAGAGATCCATTGTACTCTTTACTTTTGATATAGTTAATTTTTGGCCTTTGCCTGTGATTTTCCTGTATTTGTGTTTTCAAGTAAATCTTATATTATTGAGTGATTCATTATTTTCATCTTGATCATATTTCTTGTCTTTAATATTCATAACAAGTGATATGAGTTCTATCACCAGGGTATTGCAACTTGGCTTGTCTTACAATCGAAGCTCTGATACCACTTTGTTGGCCAATTTCTTATATTGCAAGAATAAATTTATCAATCCAAACAATTAACTATGGTGATTAAATATGCAAGTAGATGATCAAAGCAAACAAGAGAATACAACACCAAATTTTACACAGAAAAAATCTCCAGTGTAGAGAAAAAACCACGGGGCAACTCTAGCCAAATCAACTATAATAAATATAAATTACAATATTCAAGTTTATGCTCCAAAATTTGAATTCTCAACAAATTAAGAATACCACAACAATCAATTTCCAAGATAAAAAAAATAATCCCACCACAAATCAACAATTTGATGAAAATTGTGAGATACTTATTTTGAATATGATACCTTTAGAGTACCCAAAATACACCTTAGAGAAAATCCCAATTTGTTCTTAGAAAGAGAACAAACTTGTGCAAAATTCCTCAAGAAAGAAAGAAAAAACAACACTTGCTTCTTCTCTAGCCAAAGTCAAAATCAAAGTATTTTCTCTCTTAAAATTGAAA